TTTTTTTTAACACCATTATCAATATTAGACCAGGTCTGGAGAATTGAGAAGCCATAGTTTCACCGCAGCTCGCACAATAAAAGGACAAAATGGCAGATTTTACCAAATGACGAACAACACTCAATAGCCTTCACTACTCAAAACCAAGTAATTTTAAGGCTGAACAAGAATAGTGCTCCTGCACCACTCCCAATAGTTTGCTCTCATCGGATCAACCAATTGCAAAACTGAACACACTTTTTCTACAAAATCCAAATCCGTGTTCAGGTTCTGGTCAGACAACACTTCATCAATAGCGTTCTTCAATTCACTGCTTGGTTTGTAGTCATGGCAGCCGAGGAGATCCAAAACCACCTTCAATGCGTGAACATACTCTCTTTTGCCCTTCAAAACATCCACACAGACCGATTCTACACGAGGATCATTGGCTATGGATTTAGGATCATTTTTGTAGAGCCCCAGCAGGTATCTCCATGAGCTCTCGTTTTCGGGATTGGCTAAAATGGCTTTAATAGCATAATCAACTTCTGGGTCCCGCATGGCCTGTAAACCGCCATGGAATGGAGATCGAGTTATGACAAAGTATCTCTGCAAATGAATAAATTGGCAGAGGAGATTAAGCACCAAAAGTTAGCCAACAAGAAAACAAATGCTACCCATACTTTCAAGTTAAACAAGACAAGACTGTAAGCCGGAAAGTGGGAATTAAAAACAATTTGTAACTTTGGGATTCATGGGATAAGAGGCCTGAGTGGAAAATCCGATCATTTGTATTTAACTTTGGGATTCATGGGATAAGAGGCCTGAGTGGAATATCCGATCATTTGTATGACAAATGGGTTATTGTTAAATAGAAAAATTGGTTTGTAGAGAACTAACTCACTAGGCTTGTTTCTTTATACCTCCGTCATTTGATTTTTTAAGGTCAATTTTTAACCTATCCCATACACCTAAGCAATCATGCACTCTATGTTTCTCCATCTCTTTTGCCACTAAAAATCAACTTCGCCTTCCGTATGCAAAGTACAAACAAAATCCTATGCAGCTTTCAGATCTTGCGATCTATACATTCGGCAGCAATCTTGGTGTTATTTCAAACAGTAAACACGTTAAGAACCTGCTGCATTAATTGATGATGACACGTTATTAAGTGAAAACAAACTAAGAGCTCAACATATTGACCATGGCGTGTGTTCGGTAATGTCCACTTGCAACTAAACTGTACAAAAGCATCACAGATTGAAAAAAGAAAGGGAACAATACCTGATTCCAAGCAGAATTATTGAAGATATCATCATCAAGGAGTTCATCACAATAGGCAAGCTCCTCTTCCCATCCTCCCAGAGCCTGAAGAACCCACTGCAAAAAGAGAAGAAATTATACAGTAAATAAGGAATGTGGATAGGATCAACAAAAATGAGTCCTTAAACAAAAATTTGCTCCTTAATGCAAGTTAAATATATATTTTTTTGAATCCTAAATAGTGGAAATTCCACCCCACCTGCCTATGGGACCAGGCATGATAGTTCTTTGCATCCTTAAACAAGATTTCTCTTGTGAACTCAAGCTCCTTACCCGCTGTACAAGTCCCAAGCTTCTCAGCAACCCACCGCCGGTGGTGCCTAAAAATGCAAAATCGATTCAGTTTAACTTAAATAGCACATTGTTCAGTGTCATATCCCAAAAACAAAAATAAAATAAAATAAAACAAAAAGGTTAACAGAATGGAATGTCTTTATGCGTCTCTGCCAAAATTGTCTCAGTTGGTGAACAAAACTTGCACAAGCACACTTCAATTGGCAGGTTGGAAAAGATGTATATAAAATAACATTGCTTACCATACTTGATAGTTTTTGGAATTGTCTCTAGCAATCCCCTCAACAAAATGCAATTCTTCATGTAGATCAGTATTACATGCCTCAAGTATTAGACGTCTAAATTGCCAAACCTAAAAGAAACGGGCAAACATCATCAAGGACCTAACACCACGGGACATCCAATAAACAAACAGATCGTCAAATCAGCCATGACCACAAACATTCCTCTCTTGCATAATGAGAAGTTTTGTCATGTTATTCCATGTCGGCAATTTCTCATGTGAGAAANNAAAAAAAAAAAAAAAAAAAAAAAGAAGAACGAGGAGTAAACAACCCAAAATATAAGTATCGCAAGTGAATATATGCCTACAGATCAACCCACAAGGCCATCTTCACATTAGTAGCTTCTATATGTGTTATTTTATACTTATTAATCTCACAGGCTCAGTAACCAAAGATACCAACACAATGATCATGTTTACCACTAACGAACCATCCCCCATATAAGCAATTTTATCCCCCATATAAGAAATTATTTACTAGCCAGGGATAGCTGCAAAGGATTGATCTTACGCACATTTGACGATCAGAAAGCTGTTATGTTGTAGAATGTAAAACAACCTAAAATCAACTCAACTCACACTGTGTAATGCAGATTATCCCTTCCCTAACACCATACCCCTTACCCCAACCACCACTACCTCCCCAGAAAAGGTGACCAACTGGAAAAAGGATGAAAGGACGAACGAAATAAGCCTGTATACATCACTAACACCATAAACCAACAAAAACCATATCAAAAGCCATTTCTCCTATTTCTCCAGCATGGTCAACAAGAGTATAAGTGAACAATTGAATCAAATATACTCATAAATAAGCTTTCTTTATTTATAGCCTCAGTCGAAAAACTAATGAAAGGAATAAATAAAATAGCAATATAGGAAGACGACCATTACAGTGTAGTTTCCTGAATTGAGAAGAATGCCTTCTTTAGTGAGTTCAAGTGCACGTGGGGATCGCTCATCGGCCAAGTACACGGCTCTAAAGTAATCCATGGTTTCACTGAACTTGTCAGTGTATGCAATTGGCACCACTGGATTCAGGCCGTCGTCTTGTGGTACAGGCACTATATCCGCCCATTCGGGCCTTTGGCTAATCGGAATATGCCCTTGATCTTCTTCCTTTTCTGCTTGCTGACTCATTTTCTGTAACGCCCCGATATTTTTAAAAGAAAAATACCGAATATTTTTAAAAGATCAGAATTTATTTTTCGCAAATCATTTTAAGAATTTATTCCCAGTTGCAGTGGGAGTTGGACTTTCTGGAATTACATCCTACATTTGAGAAAGTCTAGTTATGTTTACTGGTTTTTAAAGGGTTGATTAAGGTACAAAAACAGGCAAGGCAAACAAACAATTAATCAGACAAACAAATATGACAATAAGGCAGGTAGGGCAAATAAATAAATTAGATAAAGGCAGTTTAAAAAGACAAGGCACACAAAACTTCTAACTCTCTTTAAAACACTTCAATTGACTGAAAACATAATGCCCAACCAGCTCTGAAATGCACTTAAATTCAGCATAAATAAGGGACTAAAGGTTCAACAACATTCATAACATACACCAAAACAATAGAGCCAAAAAAAATCACCACCAAAATGCCTCAGTTTATCTTTCTTTTCTCATACCTGAAATCACTAACATTCAAGGACCAAATAGTTGAGGAAAAGGCTCTAAACACACTTCACTTACAACATGCTTGACATCTAAAGGACTCAGCAAATAAAGAACAAAGCAAGGCAATTGACATAAAAACATGCTCCTCTTCCTGAACCGCAAACTCTTGATTCTCTTACAGTACTAAGGCCACAAACAGCTGATTCAAACCTCTGAAAATTAAGCTCAAATACAGAACATAAAAAAGACCTTACACAAGGCTCGGCAACAACATTCAACATAAAAAAAATTTCCTTCAAGAAAACAGTACCGTGGATTAGCCGCCTAGATATTCCTATAATGAAACAAATTAGGCCCCCAAAAGCAACCGAAACCCATCTTTCAACTGATTCAATTAATAGACAAACAACCAAGGACTGAAATGTTCACCCAGAACAAATAACAAAACCCACCTCTGAATTTGAAAATAAAACAAATCTGAATCCCAATTGTACAAATTATTTGGGGAGATTAAAAGAAAGGTCCGAGTTAATATAAGCGCACAAGCAAACATCAACTTTTTGTAAATAAAATATTAGGATACAAAAAAATCTACAAAGGAGATCAGATGCACATATACATACTCTTATATATTTGCTAAACTCAAATGCATACAGACCACTTTAACAAATTTAATAAACAATCAATACACATAGCAACTCAAACATATTCCTTAACTAAACAAAACATGCAGCATATTCAAGAAGTGATTACTACCCTATAAACTCACCTACAGCATCCTTAAAAAAATATTGCTAATCAAAATAATCATGCATGCATTTCAATCCCACGATTCCAAACTAAGTGAATCACCTTTTTTCATGAAAGCAGCAACTCAAGCTTCAGCCTCCAAACGTCAATATAAAGCATGCCAAAACACAAAACCTAAAAGCTTTCTTATCTCTTCAAACTTTTACTAAATTTTAAGCATGCATTTTAAGCTCATCTTGCAGCAATAAACTGATATGAACACGGTTCAACAATTCAAACAAATTCCAGCACAAAGGTACGACAGAAAAGCACAAAAACAATCACATAAGCACCTTAATTCTCTTCACAGTATACTATGACTATGCATGCCATATCTTAACTTAAGCAAGACATTTCCCAGCTTATATTAACAGCATCAAAAACACATAAAAACCATAAACCTCGGTCAAAACATGGGTCTAAATTCACGAATTAATAAGAATTAAGAGGGGATTTATGATATTCACCTCTCGTCGGGAAATTACACGTAACTAAGTGGACCTCGACCACTCGCGTACAGACCACGGAGGGGCTCGTTGGTGCTTGGGCTGAACGCAGTGAAGCTCAGTGTGACGGAACGGTGGTCACCGGACGGTGGTGAAGCTAATCTACCGAACGAGCTAACTAATAAGTAAATAATAAAATTGAACAAGCACACAAATACAAAGAGAAGGTAATCATATGAACATGAGTCAATCACATACAATAAACGAGCACATAATAATAATCGAATGAAAGCAACAATAAAAAACAAACAATTATATAACTGCAAGTAAATAAATAAATAAATACAAGAAATCAGATAAATCGAAAGGGGCGCTACATTTTCGATCTCAAGCTGGAAGAATTTACAAGTGCGAGTACAAGAGAAGGCATATGTAAGTGGAGTTTCTGGGATCAGGGATTTAAAAATTATGAGATGCTAAAATAATGGATTTTCATACTCTGTAAACTCAGCCCCAAATGATAACAAGTTGACAGTAAATTATAAAAAAATAAACTACCTTTTATGGTCTAAATAGCATTTCACCATTAAAAGTTATCCCTTCAAGCAAATATATGGGTTCCCAATATCAGAACACTATAACAAGTCAAACTGTCAGACAAAGCAGTGCTTAAAAGACCCTAAAACCGTTCCACAATTGGAAAAAAGGGTTTAAGGTTGAACCACAAAAAACAAAATGAAAATGCAGAAATAAGAACAGGCAGTAGAGGCTGACCAAAAAAGTTAGTTCAATTGTTGGGTACAATACGAATTTCAGCTACAAGTTTGTCGTCCTACAATTAACCAAATAATATGAACACATCAGAAGAAAACAATCGACCAACAGCAAAAGGACATATATTTAGCAGCCAACTGACCTCATGAGTGAACTCAGAACCGAACAATAAAAAGCAATCATAATCTAATTTCGACCTGATCCAAAATCGCATAGACCAAAATGGCGATAATAGCAGAGAAAATGGAATCGATCATACCTAATTATGCAGGTTGACAAGTGTATACTTGTTCTACGTATGCTTTATCGCCGGATCTATGGAAACTAACTGCGGCAGGTATTACTGTTCTGATGAGCTTATCGTCGTTGCTACTACTTTTCTCAGTTACTCCTTTTCTCAGTTGGGAGTAAAACGGATGAAATACTTCTTCGGCTTGCAGTGTGCTCTGGAAATAAAATGGGCGGAAAGTAGCGCAAATAATTAGGTGTGTTATGGAATAAGGTGGAACGCACGTTTAATTAGGCACATGAATTAATTAGGCTATTTTTTAGTTTTATTTATTTCTTTTAAATAATAATTACATTATTTTGTTTTCATTTTTTTTTTTAAAATATATTGGACTTAAGCGTGGTTATTATAAGTTAAGATAGTTTTATTTTGTAGGTAGTTAAAATAAATAATAAAAAATAAGGTATTTAATATTGATTTTCTTGGTCCCGACTAGGCGCCCCCTAAATGCTCGATGTGCAGGTCGAATGCCTAGCGACTTTTAGAACACTGAATAAAACCAATCGATTGTGGGTCGCGGTGCGGGTTATACATCTTCTATACTGAAGGCCTGGATCCAATATCCTTCTACACATCCAACGGTGAGCGCACTTGTCCAAGTGTCAACTGCTCACGTACAAAGCGTCCCCCAAAACCCTCGTCTTTCTCTATCCTCCCAATTCGATTGCGGCTCAGTTTTCTTCTTTCGACCACTAGGGTTATCACGATCCGCCCTTAGTTTTCGAATTAAAGATGCTAAAACCATTAATGATTTTATGCCGACTTTGATCTTTTACGAGTTCTTTGGTAGTTTTGGTTTTCTCCGCTTGTTTGATTCTTATACTTCTTTTTCCTTTTCTAAAAATAGGTTCTCCCAAACGACATCGATTTGCTGAACCCACCTGCAGAACTCGAGAAGAGGAAGCACAAGCTCAAGCGTCTCGTCCAGTCCCCCAACTCTTTCTTCATTGTAGCCTTTTCTTTTCTCTCTCTACTATCAAATTGTGTTCTTTTGTTCGTATCATTTGTGACTTACAATCCATTTTCGGTCTGTGATTGTAGGATGTCAAGTGTCAGGGCTGCTTTAATATGTGAGCTTGATGACATTTTAGTTTCTATAAACTGTCATTTGGTTTCCTTTTTTTTTTGTTGATCTGTTTGTTTATGTTGTCCTATGTGTGCAGAACCACCGTATTCAGCCACTAACAGACTGTTATTGTGTGCGGCAATTGCCAGACGGTGTGATGAGTCTCTTCTCAGATCTGGAGTGAATCAATGGAAAGAATCTCAGATCTGAAATGAACCGATGGGAATGAGCTCAGATCTGCCTCGATCGCCTTCAAACCGTTGCTGAACTGCGAGAACACCTGCAAGAACTCAACGCCGGAGGGGTTTCCGGCGTAGAGCATCCGACGCTCAAGTCAGTATGTGAAAGATATGAAGAGAGCTGCTCTGAGAGAGCAGTAGTAATAATGGATGAGAGTATAGAATGAATGGGAGTTAGGGTTTTGGGGTTACCTCAGCTCCTTTATATAGAAGCAAAACATTTACCTGAAGTTCCCAAAATACCCCGGCCGACTTACTGGAAATGTCCAAAATACCCTGGTCGGTTCGCATTCCGTTCATCTCCTAGTCAGTATCTAGATTCCTTCTTATCCTTAATAGCTTCCTCTTATCCTTGAAGCTTCCCTATGATATGTTGAAGTATACCGGAGTCGTTGGAGATCTATGAGCCTCGAGACGTCCTAAGTCGGCTCGGGATATCAACTCGAGTCGACTGGGCCACCGATATGTTGAAGTATACAGGAGTCGTCGGAGATCTATGAGCCTCGAGACGTCCTAAGTCGACTCGGGATATCAACTCGAGTCGACTGTACCATCTTCAATCGTCAGTAGACCGACAGACCGGAGATATTATAAGTCCGCAAGAAGAGTCGACTTCAGGTAAGTCGACTCAATAATATCTGAACCGTTATACGACAGTATGGCTATATCATCTAGTCCCCCCAAAAAATTACTCGAAGCGATTCTGAGCTTAAGTGTAAGTTTTGACGATTGAGTATCTTGCTTGGATCTTTTCACATATCTTGTCGCTTGTCGATGTCCTAAGTCGTGTCCATCTGTTATTTCGACTAGTAGACGGCCCGTTTGCCTTATAAATTCCACATTGATCGGATAAGTTTGAATCTTCTTTTCAAATTTCAAAATTCAAAAAAGGTCTTGAAAACTGATAAGACGCTTTCTCT